GTTTCTGGGTTTTTCTTATATTTGTCTCACAGTTTTTGAATCATGCTTCTGTTTATTATTTTTCTGGTCATGTTTTAGTCTTGTTCATGTTTTGTCAAGTTTGGTTTTTGGTTCTGGTCATGCTTTATTTTTTGTGTATGTATTCAAGAGTCTCTGTTCTTGCTCCAGCCATGTTCTGTTTTGTCTGTTAATTATCTTTATCTGGTTCACCTGCTCCAAACTAATCCGTCTCCTAGCTCCACCTGGTTTACTCTCCATATATACACTCCTGTTCAGTTGTTCATGGCGGAAACATTATTCAGATAATGCTCCTGTCCTGTAGCCAAGCCACGCCACGCTACGCCACGCCACGCCACGCCACGCCACGCCACGCCACGCCACGCCACGCCTGTCTCGCCAGCCTGGCTCGCCAGCCTGGCCAAGTCTGTTTTTTGCCTGTTCTGCCTGCCTGTTTGTTGTTTTGTTCCTGCCTCTTCTTAGAGTGAATTTTTGTTAAATAATTTTTTTACTTACTGACATGCTGCCTTCTGGTCTGAATTCTGGGGTCCTTTATCTCGCTAGCCCTAACATACTGAGCAACACTTTTTTCTGTCTACATGTAGAACTAGACTATAGGACTGGCTGCAGCCATGAGATCAATGTGATGATCTGAAGGACCTTTTAATGTGTTCAGCTATGTTAGGATTAAATGCTTTTATTTTGACTGAAGTAAAGGACCAGATATTTTTCCATTATGATGCAAATCCAGCAAGAAGCTCACAGAGAAGGTTGCTACTGTTATCTATCACAGACAGATCATTTAACTTCACCAGTAGCTCAGGTAAAAGTCCCTCATCATGACCCTGATGATGCTCATTAGAGTGAACCTCCACTTCACGTCTTGCTGGGTAAATCAGTGATTAGCTGTAACTTAAAATTAGCCCATTCCTAGTCAGCATTCAGGTTTTACCGCTATCTTCGTCTGGGTTATACTGCTTGGTATCCAATTGTTCCTGAACACACACACCCACCAGGCTCCCACTCTCCGGTTGGCTCCGCGGTTGCTCTGATATAAGCCCTGTTCGAGGCGCTCAGTGTAACTTTTCAGATAATGAAGGTGGCAGGTCGACCTGGAGTAAACTGCTTTTCTGGCTGTGCACGTAGTTGCGCATTCATGGTGCTGTGAGTGTGCAAATAGCAATTTTTTGTCTTCCCCTTTTAACTCATTGTCAGGTTAGGTGGAGCGGGACGTGATTATATGGAACACAATTGAAAAAATCTGATTGTTTTTAAACTAACTACGCGCCTGGTCACAACCCGTGTGCCCTTGTGTTGACCAGACAAAATGTCCACACAGTGGCAAATGTCCACTCAATGTTGGTGTTCTGCCATGGACTGATCCACATAAGGTTAAAACATATTTGTTTGAAGTATCAAATTTTTAAATGTGAGAGATTTTTCTTTTCTTGACATAACACCAATTCCTGTTAAATAGGAAATGTTCTGACAGGATATGATTAAACAAAGACTGCATACCTTGACCCAAGGATTCTTTTAAAAAAATTCAATGTAATTTTCTGGGCCAGGGATTATGTGTAAATGTCTAAAATAGTTCTGCTTATTAAAAGATACTCTGTAATTTAGACTGGAGTCTTAAAATGACTTGTGACCATTTGACTTAACCCATAGTACTGATAAAATGTCATTCTTTGTAGGTTGTGAGTTGGACCAAAATGCAGACAGGAACTCGGGGTGAGTATGTTAAAGGCTTTCTAATAAAAAAACAGAAACATTACAGGTCTGAAACAGGGTGAACAGGACATGGAGTATGGACAGAGAAACTGGTAGTGTAACGGAAGAATCAGGCAAGTGTCATATCCACGGTGGCTTGTGTGCTGCATGTAGACTGGGTGTGCTGCATGTAGACTGGGTTTTGTGCTTTTTTTTTTGCGCAGGGTGTGACTGGCAGGTGCTGCTGCACAGGTGTAGCTCATCTGAGAGCAATCAGCGGTGCTTCATATAGAGTGGAAATGCAGAGGGAGGCGTCAGCTTGTTTTCTCACTTGGCGTGGTAACAGCTAGACCTCTAGTAGTCTGCAGTCCTGCTGCTAAGCAGATTTTCTCTGACTTCCTTGTTTTCCTCCCTTGCCTTGCAGATCAACCTTCTACTGAAGGAAGCCGTTGAAATTGTCTGATCTCCTGTTTCACTCGTGTCATGTTCAGAGGAGTTTGGAAACTCCAGTCTCAACGTCCCAGCCCTGAGCCTCCATTCTGCTTCCAACTCCAAGCCCAGCTTCTCAAGAGCCGCCTAATCCTAACCATCAACCTGCCTGTCCACCCTCCAACATTATCTCTCCAACCTCTGCGGAGCTTCCTGGAAGAAAAGAAAACACAAGCAAAGGAACACAGCAATTCTCATAAAACTGTGCACATCCTGTCAGCCTCAAGCCACTGTGGAAAAGGACTCATTACCCCCTGGCCTTACCAAGATCTCAGCCTAGTAAGTCAGCCTCTAAGAAACATCCTAACTTCCTTCCCATCTTCACCCAAAATTTTCATAAGTCTCTGTTCTCTCCTTCAGACAGATCCCGATTTTGCCCGCTGTTCCAGTCCAACCCCACAGAACTGTGTTGTAAATACACTGTTGTTGTGACTATGAATCTGAAAATATTATTTAATATTTTATCAAACAATATTTCAGTCTGTTAAGGGTTGTTCTGTGAATATCAGCCCAGTAAGACGATGGTATTAGGACAAAATAGAAAAGGGTGAGACAAGCTCTGACATTATTGAACAACAAAACTCTGCAAACACATGGAATGAATTCACGCAATTTCTTAAAATACAAGAATTTACAAACAATAAGTCAACTCAAAGTCAAACATATTTCAATCAACAAACTCGTTACTATGCTAAAACCATCCAACTAAACTACCAAGCAGAATTAAAGGATAACGAAGACTAATGGGCTCTGTACAATATAAACAAGTTGATTAAAGATGATTAAAAATCATGACCGAAGAACCAGGAGGTTAAACACTGAGGCTGCGGTGAAAAATGACAAAGGTATCAAATAAGCTAATCAGAGTAAATGTGGAACAGCTGTGGCAAAATGAAAGCAGGGAAGCCAAGGGAGGGAGACGAAATAACGCAGAGGAAGACACAAAACTACTGAGTGGATGCACAAAGAACGGAACACAACAACAAACTAAAAAACTAAACACAAAGAAATTAATAACTAATATGGAAACACCTTACTAACAAGAATAAACACAGAAATAAGTATGCAATACATATATAAGGCAAATTAACAACAAGGAAATGACCAAGACACAAACAAAAACCAAAACCCAATGTTACCTTATGCAAATACTTTAAATCAGTCTGTATTTTAGGAGAACAAAACAATCCAAACCAGTTTTGAAAAGCATCTACTTATCATGACCTGTTTCATTTTCTACCGCTTATTCCATAGTGGGTCACGGGAAAGCAGGTGCCCATCTCCAGGCAAGAGGCGGGGTACACCTCAGACAGGTCGCCAGTCCATCGCAGGGCAACACACAAACAACCATGCACACATTCATACACCTAAGGGTAGTTTAGAGTGACCAATTAACCTAACAGGAATGTCTTTGGACTGTGGGAGGAAGCCAGAGTACCCAGTGAGAACCCACGCATGCACAGGGAGAACATGCAAACTCCATGCAGAAAGACCCCCGGCCAGGAATCGAACCCAGGACCTTCTTGGTGCAAGGCAACAGTGCTACCAACTGCACCATTATTTTAAGCTGCAATAACAGGACTTGACTTGATACAGACAAGGACACAAATAAAGACAGCAACAATGACTGATAGCAGCAAGACCCTTGCATTGAACAAAAAATGCCAAGGAGAATGAAGACAGTGTATGAAGAACGTTGACATTAAGAGATGGATTATTTAGACATCGAAAGCGCACATTTAATTGGATGAAAACTGAAATGACTCTCTAAACTGGAGTTTGGGACAGTTTTTTGCTGCTTTTTAAAAATTGTTTCTTCCAGAGTACAATGTGGACATTCATTTACTTTAACCATTGTTCCCACTGGATTCAGGCATCAGGAGTCTCCTAAGATGATGCTGTCAAAATTGCCCAGTCACACTTAAACTGGCTTAACCCCTTTTCTTTTATAATTGTACACAGGGGCTGTTAAACAGAGTTGTACCCCATTTAACCACACTGCCCAAGAGCCACAGGAGTCATAAACGACTGAGTGGACAAAAAGGCAATGAAGAAGCAAGGGATCTCTTTAAGATTAGGAAAAGTGTGTATCTGTGTGCATGTGTGAACCATACAGTGATGTGGATAATAACTCCTTTTATTCACCAGTGGCCCTGAATGTCTGAGAAACCTCTGCAAATCCTGCTTTTTGCAGACAAAGCCAAACGCCACCGGGAGAGAAATTAGTTTTATTCTGAGGCTTTGTCTCGTTCAACAGATTACATCCCTCTCCATCTTATATGACTGGACACAGCCTGGGGTTCTGTTGGCACTGAGAATATGTGGTTGCTGCCTCCTAAATTTAAAGCCAAACTGGTAATGCACCACTGTTGCTTTGGCAATTTCCTCCAACACTGAGTATGTGCTTGGTGTTACTGCATTGCCTGAACCAAAGTGATTCCATATTAAACCTATATTTTTACCCAGTCAACCCCTAAACTGTGAAATAAGAACTACTATGCTCCAAAACAATTCATTATTTGTAAAGTGCTTAATCTCCCCTATTTTCACTTCATGTTCTTCTCTGAATGTGTATTGCTTAGAGCTTGAACTAATTGAGATTTATAAGTGCTTTTTATAATACCAGTAATTAATTTATATAAATGTAAAGTCTTTTTACTGCCTGCGGTTAAGAAACATTTATGGAAAGAAAGCTTAAACATTTGCCTTCCCTCCAGCTTCCCACAATTTTTATTAGCAAATATGTAGTGGTTCTCTGATTTGTGAGTCTGATCTTATTAATAACAATATCAATAAAGATGGGAAGATTTTTGGAGTGACTAGTGTGAGATAGTTTCTGTGTCCATCTTTACATGAAAAAGCAACAATTTTATTTCATATGTGGATCAGTAGTCTTTTTTTGTAAACAATTTTTTGGGGATGATGGTTCGGAAAAGAGTTGCACTATTTTTCAATCATTTATGCTAAGATTTCCAAACAAAACATCAAAGTCTGCCAAAATGTGATGATGTATTTTTACCACATGCTGTGCAAAAGGTAACCATGAAAGCTTTTTATACTCTATACTAAATAGGCCTCTGATTCGTTTCAGCCAGAACTATGACGATGAATAGCGTTGACTAGCATAAACAGCAATGTTGTTTTAAAAATTTTGTTGATATGTCACTGTAACATTTTTTTTCTAAGTTTTTCTAAAGATTTGTATCCCTATCTCTAAAGGCAGTTTTTCCACAATCCCGAACTATTAGAAATGTCTAACCTCATGTGGATCTTGCTCTATAATAAATACACAGATTAACCAAACTCGCTTTTCTTCTCTCCACTGCATTTATCACAACATTGTTGAATTATAATTAAGAGAAAACCAATACAAAATGCAAGTTTCAGAGGTAAGACATGATCTACCTCATATTTCCTGTCTGGAAAGATGAGCCTCTTACACAAAACTGTTATGATTCTGGCCCGTCTGCCTGCTCTGCTCTGCTCTGCTCTCATTCATGCAATCAACTCATCTGCTTCACCTGTCTGCAGCACAATCACCGTCATGCCACACACCTGTGGAGCTGGAGTTATATACATCCCTCTGACAGGCAGACAGTGCCAGATTTTCGAAAACAGTTTGTGAGTTATCCAGTGTTTCTTCCTGCCTGATCTCGTTCTCTGACCTTGCCCTGTTTCACTGATTATTCCCTCCTGGATGCCCCTTGTCTGATGGATTGGATTCTGGATTTCGACTCTGTTTTCTGCCTCTGGTTTCATGCCTCTGCCTGCCCCTTGTCTGATGCCTCTAGCCCTGGAACTCGACTCTATTTCTGTCCTTGGATTTATGCCCAAGCCAAGCCACTGGTTTATTCAGCCTGAGCCTGCCTGGCTCTCAAGTCTGCCTGGAATCATTGTCAATAGGACAATCACAGCTCTCTGTGTTCCTGCCACAGCTTCAGCTGATTCCCCTGAGGATTTGGATCAGTCGGCAATACGACTTCAGTCTGTTGCACTCTTCCACATAAAGTGTCTGGATCACATCCTCTTCTGGATTCCGCACCTCTTTCCCAGACTGAGAAGGTTAGTGGCTTTATCTAACACTGTTCAAGTCCTGAGTTTTATTCAGCCACTAACTCGCCTCTCGGTCCTCAGTGGTTCGTGGAAGCTGACTGCTGGTGTCCAGTTTTCTGATCCTGTTTTGCTAAATAAACCTTAACTTTTCACTTTGTGTTTGGCTGAAATTGGGTCCTCTGTCTCTGGTCGTAATAGTAAAATCTGGCCAAAAGAAGGACCCAGTACAACAGTGGCACGCTAGTGTAGATCACTCTATTGCCCGTCTAGATTCCGGCATGGGGGAAATTATTTCTATGCTGCGCTCCATGACTCATGCCTCCACGCCAGCGTCTTCACAGTCTGTCTCCTCCAGAATTCCTGATCTATCCGCTGTGGTAAGAGAACCTAGATTCACGCCTCCTGAGTTGTTTAAGGGAGATCCTGACCAGTCCTGTGCTTTTCTTACTCAGTGTGAGATTCATTTTGAGCTACAGCCTTCTTTGTTCCCTTCTGAGCGCTCTAAGGTGGCGTTTGTTATTTCCCTGCTCTCTGGAAAGGCTAAGCATTGGGGCACTGCTGAGTTGCAGAATGGTTTAGTCACGTGTGCTTCATATGCTGCGTTCTCCAAGGAGCTCATCAGGGTTTTTGACCCAGTTCTTCCTAGTTGTGAAGCTGCCAGAGGTTTAATCTCCATAAAACAGGGAGAGAGTAGCGTCACATCATATATTATTGACTTTCATTTGCTGGCAGCTGACAGTTATTGGAATGAACATGCTCAAATGGATGCTTTCATGCAAAGTCTCAATGAGAACATCAAGGATAAACTGGCTACCCGTGATTACCCTGCCTCCCTTCACCAACTTGAAGACCTGGCAACCCGTATTGATTTATGGCTCACAGAAAGGAGGAGGGAGAGATGTCATAGGGAGGTAAAATCCTCCTCAGCTCACAATCCTGTTCCCCACCTAGAACCCAAGGGTCTTCCACCCCCTTCTGAACACAGTTATGACCATGAGCCCATGCAGTTGGGTTGATCAAAGATTTCTGTGGGGGAGCGTGATCGATGAAGGAGAAACAACTTGTGTTTTTATTGTGGGGGACAGGGTCATGTTGCCTTAAAGTGTCCATTAAAAGCCCAGGCTCAGTAGAGGTGAGGAGAACACTACTGAGGCGTAGCCAACTGTCTGTCTCCTCATGCTCATTTCCTGCAACCATTCAAGTGTCTTCTACTTCTCATCCTGTGTCAGTGTTCATTGACTCAGGGGTGGACACAGAATTAATGGATGAGTCGTTCGCCAGGGACCATGACATCAAGCTCCTTTCAACGTCTGACACCCGTAATGGGATGGTCATAGCATCAACAGTTCACTCTACAAAACAGAGGTAATCAAACTCACAATGGGGGGCAACCATTTGGATGAAGTGACTTTCAGTATCATCAACTCGCCTAAACTACCCATTGTGTTAGGGGCCTCCTGGTTACAAAAGCACAACCCCCATATTGATTGGCAAGCCAAGGAGATTCCGGGTAAAGTACCTCCCGAATATCATGTGCTTAAGGAGGTCTTCAACAAGTCCAGGGCCACAGCACTTCCACCTCACAGACCCCATGACTGTGCCATTGAGCTCCTCCCTGGCACATCTCCTCCCAGGGGCCGACTTTATTCTTTGTCGGGACCTGAACATCAAGCCATGAGGAAGTACGTTGAAGAATCGCTAGAACCGATACCCTCTACCACTCATGAATCCTGCTTTTGACCCGATTCAAGGAGCCAAGATTTTCACCAAGCTAGACCTGAGAAACACTTATCTGATCCGCATCAAGGAAGTCGACGAATGGAAGATGGCATTTAACACTCCCACTGGTCACTATGAGTACTGTGTAATGCCTTTTGGTTTAACCAATGCCCCTGCAGTTTTTCAGGCATTGGTGAATGATGTTCCGAGGGACATGGTTGGACAATTTGTTTTTATTTACCTTGACGACATTCTGATTTATTCCCAGGACCTGGAAACTCACAGAAGTCATGTTCGGGCTGTACTCCTCCGCCTTCTTCAAAATCATCTGTTTGTCAAACCTGAAAAGTGTGAGTTTCACACCACCACCATTTCATTCTTGGGATTCATTATCTCTCCAGACCAAGTCATAGTGGATCCCTCCAAAGTCAAGGCGGTATTGGAATGGCCTTCTCCTACCGATCGCAAACAGCTACAGACATTTTATCAGAAATTACAGCCTAGTAGCAGCCCCTCTCAACACCCTCACATCTTCAAAGGTCAAGTTTGTTTGGAACGAGATGGCAGAAAAGGCTTTTGTCAAGCTTAAGAAACTTTTTACGTCAGCTCCTGTTCTACGGTACCCTAACCCCGAAAAACAGTTTATCGTGGAGGTTGATGTCTCTAACACTGGGGTAGGAGCAGTCTTAAGTCAAAGAGGTTGTGATGATTGCATTCACCCATGTGCCTTTTTTTTTGCTAGGACTTTGTCTCCAGCAGAACACAATTATGATGTGGGGGACCGAGAACTGCTGGCAGT